ATATAAATATATATAATTATATATAAATATTTTTTCTCGGGTTTCGAAAATTTATTTAGTTTATATTAATTTAAAAAATATAATTTTATATTAATTATTATCTTTTTTTAACTGTATAATTTCTATTGTAATTGGAAAAAAAAGAATTAATAAATCGTAACTTTAAGTGTCTTCTTCGTCTTCAAAATCGACTTGGAAAAATTTTTGTAATTAGTCTGGGTCTGGATGTATTTGCTTAGTCATAAGGATGGAAAAATTCCGGAACAATAAGGTAATTAAGAAATACGATTAAGTTTTTTTAATAAATAATAAGGACAAAAATTCACAATAATAGTTAAAAGGGTCTTGTTTAAGGGATTACACGGAGAGAAAACAATAGACTTTATTTCTATGTAGAATAAGGTGGCGCAAAAATACCTACTAATTTTTTTTTTTAGTCTCGAGTGAAAAAATATTAGTTTTTGATTTTTTAAGAGCTCTCTCCAAAGGACAGCTCAAGAAAAAATTTTTAAAAGTTCGCTCGAAATTTTTTTTAAATTTCAAAAATCGTCAAAAATTGAATTTTTTTTTTTATTTTTATTTTTCAGTTTTTTATTAATAATTTTCGTTTTTGCAACATTAAAAACTTACATTAATCATCGAAAAAAATTTTTTTTTTTCAAAATATTAATAATGATCCGATTCCATGTTGTCAAAAGCGAAATAGAAATAATTAAAAAAAATTTTTATCTCTTATTGTTTAAAAAATTGTTATAAACAAATGCGTTGTTTATAAGATGATTGAAATTTTTTTTATGGAATTTCAATCTTTGATACAAATAATAATTTTTAAAAGAAAAATTGTTCCTTAAAAACATTTTTTTATTGCTTGAAAACGCATTTGTTAATAACAATCATTTTCTCCCACTTCTAATGAATATTTAGGAACCTTTTTTTTTTAAATCTATAATTTGTTTTCTTTTTGATATAAAAAAAAATTTTGTTTTATCTAATTTTACATTGTTTATGTAATAAACAATTTGTTATAAACAAATTAATTTTTACGTTATATTTTTTTTCCTTTTCTACTTATTGTCACAAAAACAGACATGGTTTTTTTTTTTTAATTTTTAAATATACGTTTTCAGTAATTTGGTAATTATTACCTCGTTTTTGATCCTGAAAATTATTATAATTAATAAACTAATGGAGACACGATAAAAATACAAGAGACTTATTTATTTTCTTAAATTCAGCGGAAAAGTTTAGTTGTTACTAATTTATTTATTAAATTTATAACAATTGTTTATGAAAAATACCCCTGGAAAAATTTTATTTTTGCTTTAATGTTTAAAAATCTTATTAACTATTGAAAATATGACTACCTCATTCAAGCATCTCATCATTTATTGTTCATTAAACATTAAACATTGTACTAAACATTTTTACCTTTTACATTTTAATCTCATTTACAATTGTCATTTATAAACCATTATAAGCATTATAGAAACAGAATCTGGAAATAAAAATCTAAATATTCGTAAATTTTTCTAGCATAATAAAGTGAGATTTTATTAAAAGAAAAATACCCCTTTTTAAACAAAAATTTTTTTGCACAGCTAAATATTAGAATTATATATTTAAAATATAATAAATGAGACATTAAATAAATAATAGTTTAAGCGAACAATGAGTTTACAAATTTTAAATAAAAAGAATAAAATAAATCAATTTTGAACACTTATCTAAAGAATATGTTACTTAAAGTAAGACAGATTATCGTTTGACTAAAATATTTGAATAAAAATTGCCCTTACTTAAAATAAAGGTAAACTAAGAATAATAAATAAAATTTCACTTACTTTTCAAAATCCGAACAATGAAGGATTAAACTCTCTCACTCTGACTAATTGCCATAAGAGAGGGTGTAGATCAGGTAATTGAACCTTAAAATTTACATTACATATTATGACGCTCAGGTCAAAAATGCAGCTGTGGCGCCAGCCTTTACCGTAAGAACCTCTTTGTCTACCCAATTCCTTAGACAGGTAGCCTCATGCAATAAAAGATGCAGAAATTGAATGAAAATTCATGGTCATTAGCAATTACTCACTAATGAGATATTCGATATGCATTGCTATACTTAAGTCTTAATGACAATGACAAACATTTTAGAATCTTTGAATTGCTATTGGCCCTATCGAAGCAACCTCTCCATCGAATTTGCCTATATAAGGTAGAGTCTCAGTTGCCAAATCATTTCTTATCGAAATTTTGTCTTGTGAACATCAAAACTTCGAATAATCCAAGTTTCGTTCAGTGATTTTCAATTTGTAACAAATTTGTGAATCAATAAGTAAAGGAGTTTTATTTTTTGTGGTTTTTATAAGAGAAAAAGTGCAAATCAATTATTATGGCTACTAGCAAGGATTTCGTTGATGCTATTGTGTCAGGAGATGTGAAAACTGTCAAGAAAATATTGAAGGTGTTGAAGTCAAAGAAAAATACTAGGAAGTTCAGTGATGATTTAATTTCACTAGCAATAAAAAAGAACCAATCAGTAATTGCAAAATTGCTGATCAATCATAGTGCAACTGTGAACAAAAATGTGGATAACTCTTTAACAACTTCTTTGTTTTACGCCATTCAACGCAAGAATTTGGAAATTGTGAAAACGCTTGTGAACATGGGTGCTGACGTGAATCGTAAATCAAGATCGGGAATGACTCCACTGATGGCAGCTGCAGAACGGAGCAATTTAAAAATTTTATCATTTATTTTGGAACAAAAGCCCAATGTAAATGATACTGACGCTTTGGGAAATACTGCTTTGCACTATGTGTTCAATTATGTGAATAAAAAAGATCGATCAAGGTACTCTTATTCTTACTCTCCAGAGGGTCGTAACGATCTAGATAGGATTATGATATTACAAAAAGCTGGAGCTGAATTAGATGCTAAATGTTCGTTTAAAAACCATCCGCATTTAGAAACAATTCTGGATTTGGCAATCTACATGGGAGCTACTTCAACAGTTGGTTATCTTCTCTACAGCAGTATTTTGGGTCATAAGCAGATAAACTATTCCAAAATAGAACTAGCTTCTTTTGACGGAAACGCCGTCGATATAAATCTATGGACCGACGCAGAGAGCGTCGAGATACTAAAAAAGCTAACTTCAAATCTTCAGTTAATGTTAGCATTATTCATAATCAATCGGCACGAAATAGGCATTTGTGCAACTGAAGATAACCTTCAAAAAGTTCGTGACTTTCTGATGAAGGTGGAAGAGGAAAATCCAAGATTCTTTGAATATTACCGTGAGGAAAGGCAATCAATGATGGAGCATCGTCAATTCCTAGAAGCCAAAAAGATGGGATCAAATAAAATCTCATATTGGGAGTTCATCACCAAGAACCGAGAAGACCTAGTGAAGCTTCTCACCAATGAGGATTTTCTGGATCCAGAATTATTGAAGGAAATAGGAGATGAAACGTGGACGGACTTTCGATTCTTTTACTATCGAGAACCATTGATGGAGAATTTCTTTTACGCAGTTGGGAAGAGCAAAGCTCTAGGAAAACTTACTGAAGAAATCAGCAATCTGTTTAGGGCAGTGTTGCCTTATGATTGCTGCAGGCAAATTGTTCATTCAATGACAAATGATGAACTGAAAAGTTCTTTAAAAAGTCATAATTTGATTGATATTTTCGACCAATTTTAATTGAACTTATTTTATATTTTAATCTAATTTTATCAGTGGAATAGGCCTACCGGGGAAACCACTTTAAAAAAAACGCGCTAAGTACACTACCTCAAAGGTGGCGTGGAAACGTGTACTTATAACGATTACAACTCTTTCAACTTTTTAAATCGTGTCATCTCAAAAGCGGTGGCTTTTAGGAAAAAAAAAAGTATGTAAGCATTTTTTATAGATAATTATCTGATTTAAAATTTTTGTCTAAGCTAATTTTATGATAAAACTTACCATTTTTTTTTTTGCAGGTCTCGTATCGATGAGGATTTTCCACATTTCATTTATAATAGTGTTTTAAAAAATACTTTCCTCTCAATACAAAATTTATCCTACAAACATTCAATATTATGAAAAATTATATTGATTACCTACATAGAAACAATTAGAATAATTTTTTTCTTACCCGACAAATTTAAATTTTCACGTGTCAACGTGCAAACAATTTCTAAAAATATATCGATTTTTTTTATTTCTTGAAAACTTAAAAGAGTTTTTTTGAAAAAAAAATTTTTTTATTATAACAAAAACACATCAAAAAACAATTTTTTTGAGTCAAATACTTGTGTATGGAGACTAAACACAAATTAAAAATTTTTTTCTGAATAATTGCATTTTTCAGGCAATAATATATCGATTTCCAAAAAAAATTTTTTTTTACCTGTAAGTCTCCGGGTAGCCATCTAAGGTGCCATAGGAGTGTACGATATTTTTTTTTTTTTTTTTTTGTTTTTTTTAGAAGGGACTTGACCTACTTTGCCTGGAATGTGAAAAAACGCCAAAAAAAAATTCTTTGTCAGTCAAAATTTTTTTGGACATAGCAATAAAAAAAATGATTAAAATTAGTTTTAATAATTTATTTAAAAATTTATTTTTTCTTTTAATGATTTAATACATTTAACAACAGAAAAAATGCAAGCGCTTTGTAACTCATAATCATAATTAAAATTGAGAATTAAAAGATTGATATGATAATAAAAATTTAGTTTTTTAACGTTTAATAGCGAGACAATTCTAAAGCATACAAACAGTAAAAACTTTTGTCACGTACAAAGTACTCATTTTTATTATTATTATTATTTTAAAATAATAATAATAATAGTAATAATAATAATTTCATTATTATAAATTAATAATAAACATATAAATTAAAATTCATACGTATAGTAGTTAATAAATATATTAATAATAATAATAATATATAATAATAATTATAATAATAGTAATAATAACAATGATAAATAAAATAAAGCAGAAATAAAGAAGATTAAAAAATTTGAACTCGGTGATTTTCGCGGTCGCAAACAACAATGTTCCCAACAGAAGTAACAGCAACGCCCTCTAGGCCTTTAAATTCAGCGTCGCCGCTTCCCCAGTTCCCGAAGGCTCTGAGGAACAAGCCGTCCGGAGTGAAGATCTGGATCCGGTTGTTCCCGGAATCCGCGACAATAATATATCCCTGGTCGTCGACAGCGACGCCTCTTGGGAACTTGAACTGTCCGTCGTCGGAACCCTCGGAACCGAAGGCGGTCAGAACGCGACCACCGACGTCAAAGATCTGGATCCGGTGGTTGTTGCTGTCGCTGACGATCACTCGGTTCGTGTTGCTGACCGCGATGTAATGCGGATGTTCCAACTGTCCGCGGCCGCTGCCGCAGGAACTGAATTTTCCGACGAATGTTCCGTCGGACTGGAACACCTGTAAGTATAATATAAAGGTGAGTATGTCCAGTTAATCTAAACGACCTTTATTAAATTTTTAAAATGTTTATCAATTTCAAAAGAAAAATGGTAAATTCTTTAATCTGCCTACTCTCTCTGTCTATCTGATGAAATTTTACTTTTACATTCGTTTTATAGTAGATAATTAAGGTAAGAGCCCCCATTATTGACACTATAAGAGTGACGGCGAACATTTGAATTTTTTAACCGTATTCAAATTAATCTGACTAATTTTTTTTTGTATTAGACACTTTTTTTGATTCATCAACTTGTGTATTTTAATTTTTATACTTAAATAGTCGTTAATTAAATGACAAATATATTAATTTGAAATCATCCCAGACAACATCCAAGTCAGAAGGATTTCTTAAAGATGTCTTTTCAAAAACTTCCTTGAGAGCTCCAAATATGACGTCTTAAAGACCTCATTTTTCGGAACTCTTAATTAAGAAGTCTTTAAGAAGTTTTTTTTTTTAAGTTCTATAAGACATCACAGATATGAGCTCTTTGAGAAGTCTTTTTTCCGACTTCGTAAGAGGTCAAAAAAATGAGCTGTTTTTAAGAGGTCTTTTTTTGGACAAAATTTTTTTGCAGTTAATAATTAATACCCAGGCATAAAATTTTACTTTTTTCTTATTAAAAAATTTGTAAAAATTGATAATAAGCAATGTTTATTGTGATTTAATGATAAAATTGATTAAATAATCAATAAAATAAAACAACATGTCAATAATAGGGACCCTCTCAATAATAAGGGCTTTTACCTTAACATCATTTTCAGAATTCAATTCCTCATCGAATGAGTGATTGTTCATATTTTTATCACAATTTTTAAGATTTTCTTCAGCAAATTTACACAGGATTCTTACAAAAATTTCCGTTTCTATGTAACATAGTAATGGTTACCATTCTAACATAGAAATAAGATCTATTCTTTTCTCTCCGAGTACCTTGTATACGATCCTAGTAGCTTTTTTTTATTCATTATGAAATCTACTTCTATTTCAGTTGCCGAATGACCTTTTTTTTTTTTACAATAAAATTAATTTTTTGGATATCTAAAAAATATCAGGTATTGAAACTGACCTGAACACGATGATTTTCTTTGTCACAAACATAAATAAATCCTAACGCATCAGTAGTGATGCCCCAGGGATAGTTGAATCGTCCATCGCCCGTGCCTTGTGACCCGAAAGCACGCAAGAACCTTCCTGATGGGTCAAGAACTTGGATCCTGTGATTGTACCGGTCGGCAATGATGAACTGGCCGATCCGGTTAACTGCGACTCCGGCTAGACAATCGAACTCGCCTTCGCCGCTTCCGTAGGTACCGAACTCCTTGACGAAATTTCCATTTCCGTCGAAGACTTGTACTCGGTGGTTGGAGCTGTCTGCCACGACGATTGAATTGTCAGGACCAACAGCCAGGCCACGAGGCCAGGTGAAACATCCGGCTCCGCTCCCCCGCATCCCGAATTTCAGCAACTGTTTCCGCTTTAGCAGGTACTGATTCCTATAATTATTTTCATTATTATCATTTTTTGAGTATATAAGTTATTTGTTAATTTTTAATTATAAATTTTGCTGATCAAAGTAATTTATTTAAGCAGCTAAATATTTGAGATACAAAAAAATCATAGAAAACCATTTAGACAAAATTTCAATTTTTTAAATATTTTATTGGATCATAAGTACAAAGAATTTTTAATTGAAAATTTGAGATTAAATATTAAAAATTCGAAAAATTGATGATTTTTTTTTGTAGAAAATTAAATTTCTTACAAAAAAGATCCTTATCAATATTTCCTTTTCTCTTATCATATGCCCAAAATTTTAATATCAAGTTAAATTTTCAAAGTATTTGATTGCCCAATGTTTTCAAAAAAGATCAAAGTCAAAATTTTGGATTGTTACACGGAGAGAAAAATATGGAAATCATTCCTATAATTTTAATGAAATAATTTCCTATACCATTTTAGGAGCGATTACTTAAATTATGGGAATTATACCCATAATTTTTGGGAAATGTTACTATAATTATGGGAATGGTTCCTATAATTATAGGAACGATACCTATAATTAAAACTGTAATATCGGCATGATTCCCATAATATATTGAAGCTATTCCATTATTGTATAGGAACGTTTCCAATAAATTATGGGTATGGTTCCCATAATGAGTATAGGATTAATGCCTATAATGATAATTTTATTATAGGATCCATTCCCATAATTGTTGGAAAGATTCCTATAAATTTCTCTTCGTGTAGAAGTTCTTACTGTGATTGAAAAACAAAATAATAATGCAGTAACAGGTTCATTTAATTTATTGATAACTATTTTTAATATTACAATTATGTATTAAAGTTTTGTAAAGATGTATCTACAATAATTATCATTCAGCACATTGCATTGAAAGAAGAAATTTGTTCATTAGTGATGAGCTTGAGCTCTGTTTCACAAATCATAAACTGTACTATTAATTCTCTGTACAAATTGATCGATCATATTTATAGAGCTTTGTATGCGCCTTAGTTTAGCGTTTTGGTTCTGGACTTCACTTGTAAGATCGCCAACTCTCGTTAGCAGATTTCTCAATTGTTGCGCTTCGGGAGATTCTTGAGCGGGATCCTGAGTGCTGGCAGTTTGACTACTTTTAATCGATTGCTGGGTTGAGTGTGGCAACTGAGATGGATAGTCTGTGTTTGCTTGATAGGTTACCGCTCCATGAACGT